ACGGGGGACCCCGCGCTGGGGCTGGAGCACACAAAATTGACTGATTTTTCTGTGGGTCAGCAGCCCCCCACCCAAAAAAGTCTCCCTGCCCCTGCCCTAGAGCCATCCCGCCTGCCTTCTTCCCTCTTTCCATCTCCCCACCCACCCCCCAGTCTCTGCCCCCACACCCCAACCAGCAGCCCTGCCCCCCAAAGCCCCGGGGGAGGCCATGGGGTAGAGGGGGACGTACCCAAGTGTCCAAAGCCCACGATCCCAACCTTCCGCCTGGCCAGTCCCTCGGACATCCTGGGCCGAGGCACCACAGGGCCCTGCAGGGAGCAGAGTAGGGAAGGTTACAGCTGAGGGAGGGGCGGTGGGTGGCGGGCACAGCCACGGGCCTCTTGTGCTCCCATCCACGCCTGTCGCACGAGGGCGTGGCACGCGCCCAATCAGCGCAGGGCTGCCCGGAAGGGTAGGAGGGGGACAGGCCTCGGAGCCAGGCCATGGGGCCCAGGTTCCTTCCTACCCCTCCTGCCTGGGACCCACGTGGGTATCCATCTCTCCCCCTGCCCCCCAGCCACTCTCCGGCCGTCTGTCCCATACACAGGCTGCCCCCTCTCTCCGAGCCACCGCCAATCCTGGGCCCCAGCGACCTTCGGTTCCCCTCTCCCTGGGGAAAAGTTAATGGTCAACCAGGAGCGTTTAACCCTTCGTGGGCTGGAGGCGTGGGGGTCCCTGGGACTTCCTTCCAGCAGCTTAAACTTTCCCTCAGGTCTGAGCTGGAAGTGAAAGGGGTTATGCTGGGGTGTCCCCAGACCTGTGTGCCCTGAAAGCCGAGCACTTGGGGGGGGCTGCCCAGGAGAGATTTCGGTGCCGCCCAGCTGATTACCAGAGCACCCCCAGCCGGCAGTCTGTGTGTCTATTGGTGGTGCACATCCGCACATGCCTTGGTGCATGGAACAAAATTTATCCCACACCTGGATGGAAAACGTTAGAGGGAATCTTGACACAGCCGCGGGCTATGCTCGTTCCAGCCAAGAGACACAAATATCAGCTGTGCAGAGCAAACCCGCCTCCCCGCATCAAACCGACTTCTCCCACGTCTCTGACCCCCAGCGCCGCAGACTGGCTGGGCACAGCTGCATTGGGGCATGGCGGGGGGGGGGGGGCGGGGGGCGGGGGACCGGGGG